ACTGCTGCTTCCATGCGTGTTGACCAAGGAACCAAGTAGCCTCCAGCCTCACAGCAACACACAAGCCACCACAGTATGACAGACACACTGACAGATGAGTAGTGGCCTTTGTGGCCTACTCACTGCCGTGGAGTTGGTCCCGACTCATAGCGGCCCCTCCTTGGGTTTCTGAGGCAGTATCTCCACGGAAGTAGATCGCCCAGTCTTCCTTCCGAGGAGTTGCTGGTCGATTTGAACCGCCACCCTTCTGGTTAGCAGTCAAATAATTGGAATATGTAATTAGTAAGAATGCAACTGTCTCCAAAAATGCATGAAGATAGTTTGAAAATGGAACTATGATACAAATGGAATTGTTCAGAGGGAAAAAACAAAACACAAACTCACAAAATTATAAATTATAAGGGGGGAATAAACTGAGGAAATTCAACAATCATGAGTCCTTACTTTGCTTAACTCTGAAAGTACACTTAAAACTTAAGGTGGAATGGGCAGTTTCCTAAGAAAATACTAATTTATCCAAACACAGCCTCCATCTGTCCGCAGAGGCGTGTGTGTTGCTATGATGCCGGACAGGTTTCAGCAGAGCTTCCAGCGTGAAGCAGATCAGGGAGGAAGGCTGGCGATCCGTTTCTGAAAATCGGCCGACGGAAACCCCGAGGAGCGCAGCCAATCACGGGGCCCGTAGGGGCCAGGCAGCATTGCGGTTCGTTTCATTGTGTATGAGATTGCCACGTGTCGGGGTCTGAGTCAGCGACAGCTAGCAACAGCACTGACAGCCTTAGGAGAGAGAGAGTATCTATGCAGTCATCGTTTCATATAAGAAACAGAGAAAGTTACCCAGAACCTACTCACTAGAAACAACCAAACTCAGAGTTTTCATGGATAATTCATCCAAAACTGTAAAGTCCCAATAATTCTGACTCTGTTAGCTTTGCCCTGGAGGTGGCCTTTCACTCACACACAAGGCAGCAAACATCATAAACATGACAAGCCTATCATGACCACCTCCTCTTCAGGGCGTCCACACCCTCTGGCTGCCCATCTTGGTCCAGGTAGCCCAGTCCCACCGAGGTCCTTCAGGATGAAACTGCCGTTGCATCAGTTGTAGCTGATGGGTCTGTGCGAACACCAGTGAATCTTTACCTCCTTGGGCTCTCCTCTGTGTCAGGGGAGGGCCTAGAGCCTTTCTTTTCCTTTTGCTTTTTCATGCTCTTTAAGTGAATAGAATTTAATGAACTTCAGCTGTTCCCCTGCAAGTCTAGACAGACTGTAGCACAGAGCATTCTCCCTGCCTGTTCCCAGACGGTTCCCCTGTCACCGACCCAGTGGTCTGACAGTACAGCTCAGACCCCGCTGCTTACAGAAAGATTTGCTTCCAGTAAACATCAATGCCTGTTTATTTTAAATGGGCTGTTTTTGAATCACGCTCTGTTTTTCCACTTAATGTGCTGGTAAGAGCAGTGGGCAGTGCGCGTTACAGCTCTTTGGGAATTGCTCAGCAAGATGGAGTTGCTTCGTCATAAAGGCAGAGTCAGTCCCTTGCTGGTAGGGAGAAAATAGGGCTGGTGTTTGGGTTTCGAATTTGCTGTGAAGTATCACAGAAAACACACCCAAAAAAAAAGCCTCACTGCCATCAAGTAGATTCTGACTCAAAGCGAACCCCTTTGGGTTTCCGAGGCAATAAATCTTTACAGAAGTAGATTGCCCAGTCTTCCTTCCACGGAGTGGCTGGTGGGTTTGAACCGCCAGTCTTCTGGTTAGCAGTCAGATGCCTTAGGCGCTGTGCCACCAGAGCTTGTAGAGGATCAGTGAAAAAGAAGAATATCCTCAATGAGATGGAGACTTAGTGGGTGTCACTGGGGCTCAAGCACAGCAAGGACTGAGGACAGTGCAGGACCAGGCAATGTTCCGTTCCGTTGGTCATGAGGTCACTAGGGGTCAGAACTGACTTGACGGGACATACCAGCAACGTGAACTGTTTAGTGGACTTAAGTTTGAGGTTTGAATTTGAAATGAAGTATTAACTGGACTTCAGTTTGTATTGTGATTTTTGTGCGAAGAAAAGCCGCATTTTCCCATTTCAATCAGTAGGTACCTTTTGATTGTTACTGTGTGTACAGCTGTGCTGTGAAAATGTTAAAAGAATCATAAACCACTACCCTTGGGAGCTTTGTGAGTCCAGGAAAGAAACAGAAAGTGGTCAGTCACTGACCGCTGCCCATCCTCAGTCCACGGAGAGGTTTATTGGATACCTGCAGAGGGTACAACAGTGAAGACAGTTGCCTGCAGAGACAGAAGCCCAATGGGGAGAGAGAGTTTTGGAGAAGAGATAGGTCCAAGCATGACAACTTCTGCCCGTGGAAGGGAGACAAGGATGCTGCAAGGACCATGAGGTGGGGATGAGTCTTAGCTGGGGGCCTGTGTGTATCGAACTCTGACGTGGGCTTCATGGAGTACCCATGACCTCATTGATCGCTGGGGAAGAAACCAAACGTGTTTGAACTAAGTGTAGACTGCCGGTGTTGCTGTGTAGCCCACCAACAGGGCACGTTGGCACCGTGTACCCCGGGAAGCTGACCTGATGGAGGGGGTGCCACACACCTCCAAAATGCTCACACTTTCACGTGGCAGGAATGTAACTGAAAAGAAAGTTACTCGGTTTGAAGTATGTGATTTTAAACTGCAAATTATATCCAGGAACGAGTACAGTGGACTGGTGTAACCAAGTTGTTCTTTACAGTCATTTGGGATGACAGAACAGAACACATTAATGTGTATAAATTCATTACCCTTTTCATTGAAACACTCCCTCTTTATCCGAGCCTCTTACTTGATTTTTTTTTTTAATTGTGGGCTGTGTGTGTACACATTTGATCATATACTATGTAACTTCTCAAGCATGGATTTCATGATGTAAGACCATTGCCTCTATGTTTTCTGTACTTGATTTCTGTCCTGTTTGGGGCAGTGGGCAGTGAGCAGGGCTGATGGCCTTCTTCCTGTCCAGGCACTGGAGGACCGTCCCAGCTCCCTTCTCGTGGACCAGGGAGACAGCAGCAGCCCCTCCTTCAACCCCTCTGACAACTCTCTTCTCTCCTCCTCCTCGCCCATGGATGAGATGGAAGAGCGGAAGTCCAGCTCTTTAAAGAGACGCCAGTAAGACAGAAACGTTACCATTGTTGGGTTTGGCGCGTGTCCTCCTAGCTCTGTCACCTTCGAGGGTGGGATTGGGATTCCTCTCTGATTGGCACCATGGTCTCCTGCTGAGTAACGTGTACACACATTTGTGTGTTCGTGGAGGCGTGTGCATGTGTGTTTGTGAAGCACTCGAGACTTCCCCAGAGCTCAGTAAGATACGGCTGCAGTTTCTGTTATTTTATTTGTAAGCAATACTATATTTCTGAACAAGCATAGATCTATCACTGCTGGTGAGAAAATGCTACGCTTTCTATGGTGTGTGTACCTGGCAAAGAAAAGGAAGGCAACGTAAAATTAGACATGGTCCCGAAAGCTTGAACATCTTCAGACACACCTTAGTGGTTGTGTTCGTCATTCCCAGTAAAGCACCTGTCCTGAAACCGTGAGGCGGGCTGACGCTGCCCCGGAGAGGAGAGAGCCTGTTGGCAGGTGGTGAGGATGGGGCTTTGTTTTGTTCAGTGCTGTATCCACAGTGCTAGAATGACACTAAGGAGCCCTGATGGCACAACACTTCAGTGCTCGGCCGCTAACCGAAAGGTTGTCAGTTCTAACCCACCCAGCAGCTCTGAGGGAGAAAGACATGGGGATCTGCTCCCATTAAGATTGCAGCTAAGGAAACCCTATGGGACAGTTCCACTCTGTCTACTGGGGTCACTGTCAGTCAGAAACAGCTGAATGGCATTTAACAAAACATTGTCGCTAGGCACATAGTAGGTGCTCAATCTGTGTCTAGTGACTAAATCAGCCAAGCAGGCTTTTCAGGCCAGTTGAGTTGTTTGCTGTACTGATAAGTAGTTGTTTTCTAATGGCTGACTGGGCTGATGTGGTTGGTCACTGAACCTTATGGAACTAAACACTTCTAAGTGATGTGACCAGACCCAGGGCTTATTTAAACATCTGACATAAAAGGCTTGCTTCTGTCTCCCCTGGAGCTTAAAATGGCTAACCTAGTATTTTCTATAAATAAATAAACACTTCCTTTAACATCCTGCCTTTATGATAAAGTTAGGCCTCCCGTTGTGTTTGCATCTGTGTGATGATGGGCCTGAGCTGGCAGGGCAAATGCCCCTGACCTCACTGGTGTGTGTATCTGAGCGTCTGATGGCTTCACGGCTCATGGGTCACCCACTGGCCCAGGAAATTGAAGGGGGCACACGAGGAATGCAGGCCCAGTTGCAGTGGTCTGGTGTGTTAATCAGCAGCCCTGACACAGGTGTGTCCTGACAGAAGGAAGCACACAGAGGAAAGTGCAGGCTGTAAACACCGTTTTCTCTCTCTCCAGCTACGTTTTGCAAGAATTAGTGGAGACAGAGCGTGACTACGTACGGGACCTTGGCTACGTGGTTGAGGTATGTATTTTCAGGCATTTAATAACCTTATAACATCCCCAAGAGCTGTCCAGAGCGCTGGTGTTTGAGACAATTGAACACTGATACCATCTTGAAAGCTTTAAAGACATTTTTGAGCAAAATAATATAAACAGCCAATAAGGCATTTCTGAGAAGTAATGTTAGCTTGTCATCTTAACCACTTGTGTTCTGTTAACGCGTCTGTTAAGTTTTTAAATCCTGATGGCCAGCTGTTGTATGTATTCTGTCACACTCTTGCCTTTAACAGCTTCATCAAGCAGGTTCCATCCCAGCGAAAACTTTAGGCTGAAAAGACCCAATGAGGCCCCGCTGTGACTCCCGTCCATCCTGAGCCACCGTCTTCAGAGGATGGCCTGGGTGGCACCAGGTCACTTGTTTAGAGTTTTGTTCAGAACGAACCTGTTGCCACTTAGACTGACCTGGAGCCAGGGAAAAGGCACTGCCTTTGGTACTGGATGGAAGCCCTCCCGAGGCTCACCCCTGCCTTTAAGTTCAAATTGTACCCATGTCAGTGAGCACAACTCGTTGAAAGCTGTTTGTGTCATGTAAAATGTCATCATTCTTTTGGCTTTGAAAATAAGTTCAGTACAACCATTTCTAGGTGTACATTCCATTCAAAGTATTGGCCAGTATCACTGATTGTGTAACACAGATTAACATGCCTGATTTATCTTCAGTCCTTGTTAACTTTAAAATAAGTAACGTGACTCCTAAGAGGTTCTTATACAAGTCAAGTTCCATTTGAGTTCAATAGAAGTTAAAACCGCATTTTAGCAAATTACTTAATCAGTCATTGTTAAAACTTCAATTTATTTTGAAAAGTTAAATTCTTATTTAACAGCTTATTTAAGTAATCTGAATGGGAAAAAAGAAACCATTTAATTTAGTTAAACTTGTTCAGTTCCTTCGAGTTCTGATCTATGGATGATAAACAGCTCAGGGAGAGGAAATCACAGCATTGGGTGTGGCAGTTCCTTCAGGTGCCACAGAGGACCCTTCCCTGTGGAATTTCTGTCTATTTTGAAACAAAAGAACTGGTAACAAGACACTGTGAGTGACTGCTTTCTCCTTGGACTATTAAACTGCATACAATGAAGTAACTCAGTGACTGTCCCTTTACAGGGCTACATGGCACTCATGAAGGAGGATGGTGTTCCTGATGACATGAAAGGAAAAGACAAGATTGTGTTTGGCAACATCCATCAGATTTACGACTGGCACAGAGAGTACGTACATACACAGTATGCTTAGCGGTGCGCACGGCGCAGGCACTCGCCAGACTGCGTCATGTCAGGCGCTGGCAAAGCGTGCTGACTGGTTCATGCCGTTGACTCCCCGTGTAGCTGCCTCCAGGTGCTGCTACAGAGGAAATGGTGGTGGAGTGGGCTGTTTGGTAGGAGCCCTCTGTGGCATGGGATGGAGAGCCTCCCCTTGGTGCTGCCTCATGTAGAGAGGCCTCAGCCTGGTCCTGCCTGACCTGGCGCTGGTGGCTTCCCTCTCTGTGCCCCCATTCTCCGCCCGCCCGGGGCGGGGCACAGTGCCAGCCACTGTAAAGAGTGATAGGTATATTGAGTAAAGCCTGGATCTGTGATTCTGTCAACAGTAGAATTCCAGCCACCATTGCTGAAGCATGAGTTACCATTAGAGGGATGAGGAACGGAGATAGGGTTTCTTCCGGTGAATGGTCCGAGTGTCCCCATGCGTTGCCCACGCCGTCCTCATCAAGAAAAAGACTGATGTGGGGCTGTGTCTGAACATCTGCCAGTTTGTCATCACACGTCCCATCCTGCCATGATGACTTGCACTTCATTTTAAGCTATGAAATACTCCACAGATAGGAGATGTTATCATGGCATGTATTAAAGAGTGTTTTGCTTTATTATTTTTCTGTACTTGGCTTATCTCTCCTAGTGCAGCGTAGAACCCTTGAGCCCACGTATAAACTCTTTATTTTCATGTCCCCTGTAATGTCTCAGCACTTGGGAGGCAATTCAGTAGTCTACCACTCGCCAGGAGGTTGGCGGTTTGAACCCACCCAGGGGCCTGGCAATTGGCTTCAAATCACAGCCTTGGAAACCCGACGGAGCAGTTGTGCTGTGTACACCCGGCTCATCTGAGTCTCAGTCCCCTCATGGCAACAGCAGCAAGGTGTGCTGTCCAACTCAGTGGGATTCGTAAACAGGCGATGGGCAGCTTCAGAACTAGCGTTCTGGTCTACAGGCTGGAGATGTCCCCAGAGTCTGCAGGGAAACCAATTTGAAAAGTGGCGTTTTGTGCTGATATTTAGTGTCCTGCTATGGCTGATTTTAGGAGCTCTGGTGGCATTGTGCCTAAAGCACTTGACTGCTAACCGGAAGGCTGGCGGTTCAAACCCACCAGCCACTCCTCAGGAGGAAGGTTGGGCAATCTACTTCCGTAGTGATACTGCCTCAGAAACCCAAGGAGGGGTCGCTGTGAGTCAGGTCCGACTCGATGGCACGTAACAACAACAACGTGGCTGATTTTTAAGGCTACGACAAGGAGGGGAGACGGGGCAGAGGCCTGTGGGGTGACTAGACAGAAGCTGCCTTCAGTGACGGGCCCCACCCATCCCACAGTGTTTGCAGAGCTACAGAAGGTGAAGCCCACGTGCTAGGAAATGCACCATTGATTAGTTTGCAGGCTAATAAAATACCAAACAGAATTATAAACATACATATGTGCTAGTTAGGAGCTCTGGTGGCGTAGTGGATAAGACACTTGACTGCTAACCGGAAGGTCAGCAGTTTAAACCCACCAGCCGCTCCACACAAGGAAGACAAGGTGATTTACTTCCGTAAAGATTTACAGCCTCAGAAACCCAGCGGGGGTCACTCTGAGTCAGAAACGATTCAATGGCATGAGTTTGGTTTTTGGTTTCTGTGATAATTAAAGTGATTATACAGCTAAAAACGACAATAGCCAGGAAGAGCCGTTTTATTACTGCTAAGCAGCTCGTGGCATAGTGGTTAAAGCATTCAAATGCTAACCACAGAATCAGTGGTTCAAACTCAGCAGGCACTCCGCAAGAGAATTCTGAGGCTGTCTGCTTCTGTAAAGATATACAGCATGGAAACCCTATGGGGCAGTTCTACTCTGTCCTGCAGCGTTTCTGTGAGTCAGAATTGACTTGATGGCAGTAGGTTTGTTTTTTTTTGGGTTTTCTACTTTTATTTTGTTACTTGTGATTACCTTTTTATCCAGTTTTAATCTGAAAGGGACCTATTATTTGTGACCTAGAAATTGATTGTCATAGTATTAGAGGAAACATAAAGCCAGAACAGAACATTCAGCAGTCTGTATCTATTATTATCCAATTTGAGCCCCTTAAAAATTATCACAGAATTCAGGTTAAATGGACAGGTTTTCAGAAACAAGATGGCCCACTGCTGCCTTGAAGCATTTATCTTTTAGTCAGTTCTCAGCCAGGTATTTTAGCACTTGAAAAACACAGGAGGAGAATGTTTCTTGTCCAAAGGAAGCCAAGGTTGCCAGCGAAAGCTTGCTCTAACACCACCTTGTCTTTTGTCTCTTGTTTCGAGACTTGGGAGGTAGTGTTCTAACAAGATATTTTCTGTGTTCATTATATTTGTTAAGTATATGCTTTATGCGTCCCAGTTACATCAAAACAGTATTGTTCAAATGCAAATGTCAATCTGAAATTGGAAGGCCAGTTGGAAATGGTTCTAATATCTTCTCCGTTGTTTCCAGCTTTTTTTTAGGAGAGTTGGAGAAGTGCCTTGAAGACCCAGAAAAACTAGGGTCCCTCTTTGTGAAGCACGTAAGTGCAGCTGCAGCAGCAGCGCCGTTGGTGTTCTGTCCGGGTACTGTCACCTCTAGTCACTGGTCTGTGAGGCTCAAGGAGACGCCCTTGGAGCTGATGAAGGAGCCCGTGTTGAGACGATATATATGGTGTCAGTGGGTTAGAACTAAAATGCCCTCTAGCTTTTCTGTGTGTAAATTACCTGCTCTCCTGGTCACCTGGCCCCAGGGGGATATTCAGGTAACATCCATACAGGTTGGCCAGAGGGTACCAAAGGGAAGCCTGAACCTGGGATTTGTGGGGAGGTCTGTGGGCCAACAGTCATTTGGGGCAGATGTGACTATGTGTGCAGTTGTTGTTGTTGTTGTTGTTGTGTGCCATCAAGTCGTCCCCGACTCATAGCGACCCCTCCTTGTGTGCAGTAGGTTTATCATAATAGCCACAAACATGGATTTATCTAAAACAAATATGTTAATATTAATGATTTTTTTTGATCACTAAGTTTGAAAACAAATAGAGGTAAGAGTTTTTGTCTTTTTAATGTTCTCTTTCATGCCTGACTTAGTAGGAGACAGCTGTTTTTAATAGCTGCCTCTCAGTTCTGCTGCGATCTGTCATTCTGGTCGAAGTACATAAAGAAAATCCAGCCTCACACAGATAGGTAGTTGGAAAGGGAGGTGTGCAGGCACTCGGAGATACTGCAGGTTTGGTTCCAGACCGCTGTTAAAAAGCACATACCACGATAAAGCGAGTCATGCTAATTTTTTGTTTCCCAGTGCGTATGTTTACACTGTGCTGTAGCCTGGGAAGGAGCTCTGGTGGCATAGTAGGTAAGGCATTTGTCTGCTAACCAGGAGGTTGGCAGTTCAAGCCCACCAGCTGCTCCACTGGAAGAAGATGAGGCAATCTACTTCTGTAAAAATTGACAGCCTAGAAACCCACTGATGGTCGCTATGAGTCAGAATCCACTGGATGGCAATGGGGTTTTTTGGGGGGTGGGGTTAGGATAGCTTACTCAGCATGCAGTAGCATTATGGGAAAGTTTGAAATCTTGAGAGAATTACCAGAATGTGACACAGAGACACAAAGTGAACACATGCTGTTAGAAAAACGGCCTCGCTGGACTTGCTCCGTGCAGGGTTGCTACAAACATTCAATTTGTTTTGAAAACAAAACAAAATGCAGTATCTGTCAAGCGCAATAAAATAAGGTATGCCTCTGTTTTAATGATCTTTTCAGATAAGAATAGATGTATTTTCTTCATACCACAGCAGAACTCAACAAGTGATCTTTTTTTTCTTTTTTTTAAAGTGATGATTTCTTAGAATTCATTGCAGCATAGAGTCTGAAAACTTAGTCAAGTTCTCCCTGCCGTTGCCTTAAACTCCCTTAGACTTGGTTTTGTACCATCATGCATTGGTCACTGGAAACAATACTGGTTAGGCAGGCCTTCCAGAAGCCGGCACATTCCAGTACACGGCCTCACAAGCTCCCCACCCGTTTCATCAGAGAAGTCTTTATATACTGGAAAGATGCCAGGTTCACAGTGGCAGATACACATTTTCCAGAATTCTAACTTTTTGCTTGAAAGCTCAAATTGACATTGTGACAAACACTGCCACTTACTTACCTTGAAGTGACAGCTTGTTTTATTCATGTTCAAGAAGATACCTACCAGCTACCCAGGTGTGAACCACGGGGCACGTGCTCACCAGTCTGTGTGGTGCTCTCCAGGAACAGCCTTTGGCTGACTCACAGCTCAGCTGCAGACTGCTTTCCCTTGAGACAGCTGTCGCCTGCAGGGAAGGGTGGGCAGGCATCCCGTTTTGACCCACGAATGTTCAAAAGCTGCGTATGCACTGGTTGAGATTTCCTGAAATGGTTCATTTCTGTTCCTTGGTCAGGGAACTCTTCAGTGAAGCTGACTTTGATTCTGAGCATGGTGGTGCCAGCAGCCCCACCCACTGTTGGTTGGCAGTTGCCAGTGCCAGCACAGTGAGAAAGTCTCAAGGCAACTTAGTCTTATTTTGAAATAATTTTGCCCGCTAGGATCCCCTGGAAGGGCTTTGGGAATCTCCAAACCCAAACCACTGCCATGGAGTCAATTCTGACTCACAGCAACCCTATAGGACACAGTAGAACTGCCCCATAGGTTTCCAAGGCTGCAAATCTTTATGTAAACACACTGCCACCACTTTCTCCCACAGAGCGGCTGGTGGGTTGGGACTACTAACCTTTTGCTTAAAAGCCTAAGGCCTTAATCACTGTGCCGCCAGAGCTCCTTTGGGAATCCCCAGGGGTCTGTAGATGACCCTTTCAGCATCAGTTAGCTCACCGTCTACTTGTTTTCTTTTGTCCCCGGGTGGCACAAACAGTTCAACACTCACTCTGACAGTAAGGTTGGTGGTTCAAACCAATCCTGAGGTACCTCAAAAGACAGACCTGCGACCCACTTCTGAAAGGGCACGGCATCGGAACCCCTGTGGAAACCCATTGGAAACCCGGATCTGCTCTGCACATGGGGCCACCACAAGCCAGAGCCAGCTTGACACAGCCACTGTTTGGTGTTCTGTTCTCGTCGCTCCCACTGAAAACAGCCAGGCTTGTTAGGGCTGTTAGCAGCTTGGGACGGGTGGGAATAATTCTTCCCGTGATGGTTAGGGATGTGTTCTTTTGCTGCCCCTGGTATTGACTGTGAAGCGAGGGGGTTGATGCCCCTGTGTAGTGATGACAAAAAGCCGTTCCAGTGTCACGCAGCAGAGCCCTGACTGTGGTCATGTAACTGCTTTAAGAAAATGACCTCGTTAATGGGCTGAATCGTGAACGTGTTCCTGTGTCCTGCTGGCCCTGTCGTTGCTAACCCACCTGTTGTTTGCCTGTTGTATTCTAGGAGAGAAGGCTGCACATGTACATAGTATATTGTCAAAATAAGCCAAAGTCTGAGCACATTGTCTCAGAATACATCGATACCTTTTTTGAGGTAAGAGCCACGCCAGAAGTGGAACGTATCTCTGAATCTTTTCTCACACTGGTTTTCCAGAAATTGTTTCATTTGGTTCCCAGGTGGGAAAGCTTTCCCCAGGGCATCAGTCAGCCTCAGTGACAGGAGCCCTGGGTGCCTCTGTCCTGCCTGTGAGCCAGAGCAGTGAGAGTGGGACTGCAGTCTGTGGTGGTGCCCTGTAGTGTTCTGAAGGCTGGGGTCACTGTAATCAGTTTCCTGTAGCACGCCTGGCTCATTCAGCGTAGTCCTTGGTCTGAGCAGTTCATCTCTTCTGAGAATGAAATACAAGTACATGTTTATAATGGAGGCGGAAAAGAAGGCCTTTCCAGAAGCACTGACAGCTGGTTTGGAGAACACCTGCGAGGCTCAGGTGTGGGACTGGCGTCCTGGGAAACCCTCTCATGCCGGTTGATATGGTGCAGAAGGATGGCTTCTTCCTGTGACTTGGTTCATGACGTTGTAATTAGCCTTTCCAGCAATCACATGGATTAAAAAGAAAACCTGTAGAAAACAAAACTTCACATCTTTTTTTCCCCCCTCAAAAACCACAGGACTTAAAGCAACGCCTTGGCCACAGGTTGCAACTCACAGATTTGCTAATAAAACCAGTGCAGAGAATTATGAAATATCAGCTGTTACTGAAGGTAAGTGTGAGACGTGGGTGCTGGTGTCTCATGTCCGTGCAAGAGGATGAGCTGACAGCAGGCAGGGAGGGTTTGGCAGGACCAGGAGAGGCCTTTTGGGAAAAATACAACAACACAGTCTTGTCATTTTTCCTTTTTAAATGTTACAAGATAAATTAGTAAAAATTTTAATATAACACCTTTGATGCAATTTTCTCCATTTTCACATACATCAAGTTCTGAGTCAGAATGTCTATAAAAGTAAATGTTTTTCCTTCCACCTCTGAAAACTAATACCTTTCTTTGAGACAACTTTCTTTGACCTTAAATATTTTCTGATTTTCTTGGTATCTTCATAAAATAGTAACTTTAATCTCTGCCTTGTCCACATCTCCCATTTTGTTTAAATTCTTAAGCACAAGGCAAATTCACACATTTTTCCATAATAAAAGGTGACTGTTAAATGTACTGAGATTCTGTCATGGGAAAATTAGGACGTGAACTGAGAGAGAAATACAAGAGTTTGTCCAGGTGTGAAACAGGACCTGTTGCCCATGTGGATAGATTTGGTCTAGCTTGCTCTACCACAGCTTGAAATCCATGTGGGAGAATCTTTGCATTGCGTTTCTGGGAGAATGGAAAGAGAAAGTAGGGCCAGTAGGCTTGGCCCGGTGCCTGGCCCTCGGGATGGTCAGCAGGGACGCTCACTACTGTTGTCATCACTGTCGCCTTCCTCCTTCTCACCATTTCCCTTGCAGGACTTCCTCAAGTATTCTAAAAAAGCTAGCCTGGATACGTCTGAACTAGAGGTACTGAGCCCTCCCTGCTGCACCTCCCGGTCTCCCACCTGGCACCTCCCAGCCCCTCTAGACCCACGTGTGTCAGAGACAGGCAGCCACTCCCTGTGAGGGAGTGTCGTCCTAGCACTGCCTAGTGGTGGCCGTGGGCCCCTGCATGGGAGGCAGGGGAGGGAGACAGTGGGGCATCAAGCTGTCTTGGGGTTACTGCGCTGAACCAGGACTCTGCTTTCTGCCCCACAGAGAGCTGTGGAAGTCATGTGCGTCGTCCCCAAGCGGTGCAACGACATGATGAATGTAGGACGGCTGCAAGGATTTGATGTAATGCAGAGACTGTTCTGTCAGACTGCTCCTTCGCCTCCCGTCACCTCCTTTGGTCTTTGGTCCCTCATCCCCACATGGAGAAAACCGATCTTTCTGCTTGGCTTGCTTTCCTCCCGCTTCTCTTCAGCCTGTTGATAATGTCCTCTCAGCTTCTTTTCTGGGCCTTTGATTTGCTGTTTGGCGAGCTGTGCTGCCTCTGAGCCCAGGCCTTCACTGCATAGGCAAACCAGGGCTGTGTTAGCGTCTTGGGCCCCTCACCTGTTGTAGGAGCTAAGTTTCCTCCCCTGGCACTTAGAACCTCATTAGCTACGGATAGAGTGGGTGGCAGAAAGACCCTGAACCGTCTGTATCCTTCCAAGCCTAACTGGAAGGCCACTGTATTTCCCGTTAGGCTAACAAACTCGTGTGCAATGCCAGGTTACTCACGTTGCGTACCACCTGCTCGGTACCCCAGAGATACTCAGAGCTTTGAGTAAGGAGATGGGAGAGTTTCGTTTTTCTTGCCTGCTGTTTCGCTAGAGAAGCAGGGGTAGGGCTTTGGTGCCCTGTGTCGGTCAGCACAGAGCTGTGCACTGTACGGCTCTCAGCAGCTGGGCCCTGACTGAAAGCAAAGCAACAGCAGAATCACCGGGAGCGTTGGGACAGGTTCTTGTGCGTGTCTAACTGGTCCCCACCAGGTGATGCCGATGCTGATGGGCTGGGGACTAGTGTGGATCAGACACTGAGATCCCAGCCTCAGGCTTTGGTTGTGAATGAGGCCAATGCTCTGTACAGAGGTCGGCAGGGAGGCAGATAATCCTTCTCTTTGGGGCAAAGAACTCACTACAGTAAAAGAAAGGGTTGGTTTCTTTGTTGGTCAGGTTCTATAAATTACCAGAGGAAAGATCTGTTGCTCTGTGGGAGGAAGCCCAAGGAGCCGAGCTGCAGATATCTGAACCCCATCTCCTTGTTACAGGGGAAGATTGTGGCCCAGGGCAAATTGCTCCTGCAGGACACGTTCCTGGTCACGGACCGGGACGCGGGCCTCCTGCCTCGGTGCAGGGAGAGGCGGGTGTTCCTCTTCGAGCAGATGGTCATATTCAGCGAGCCGCTCGACAAGAAGAAAGGCTTCTCCATGCCAGGGTTCCTGTTTAAGAACAGCATCAAGGTAACGCACGTCCACATGCTTCTCACGTCCTGATCCTGTCCCACACGCCGATGAGCTGCCGGCTTTCACAGCGATGTGTCGCCCCTTCGTTCCTGGGTGTCTGGAGAATTTCCTGATGCGTTACAGGACCTTCACATTCAGCCCAGCACTCCCTTCACCTCATTGCCCATCTCTGTGTGATGTTGTTCTCTGCTGTCCAGTCGGCCTTTGACTGAGGGCGACCCTGTACACAACGGAATGATACATTGCCCGGTCCCAGACCGTCCCCGTGAGTGGCTGCAGATCAGACCGTTGTGAGCCGTAGGTTCTTGCTGGCTGACTTTCACAGGCAGACCAGCGGACCTTTCTTCCTAGTTCTGCATCACGGCGCTCACTGACAGGTGGTGGCTGGGCGTGAGGTGGATTGGTGGGAACGGAATGCTGGTCTCCTGCATGGAGGCAGGGATTCTCCCTCTGTGACTGCGGCCGTTCATTTGGAGCTGGACGGAAATTCCTCTTCGTGGGGGCTCTCTGGGCTCGGTCCTCTCTGGGACCACGTAAGGTTAAACATGGAGGCTCATGTTTGTGCTGTGTGACCAGAAAAAGTCACGAATGTCATGTTCTCTTGCCATCCATCCAGCACGGTTTCTTGTGCCTCAGAGGCTGAGGGTGGGCCAAACAGTTCACTCTCTGCCTTGGCAAAGGGGAAGGACAAGTAAATGAGCAAAACAATCCCATCCCTGTTGAGTCGAGTCGACTCCGACTCCGGCGGCCCCGCGTCTGTCAGCATAGAGCTGTGCGCCGTACGGTTCTCAGAAGCTGGGCCCTGACTGAAGTAGGTCGCCAGGCATTTTCTTCCGGGGTGTCGCTGGGTGGGTTCAGACTGCTGGCCTTTCAGTCAGTAGCACGGCCAGGCCCGAATTGTTTGCACCTCCCAGGGACCTATCTGCTGCCTTTGAGTCGTTTCCAACTGAGAATTGCGAGTGGCCCTGATGCTTGTCAAGGAGACAAACCGAGAGTGGGACTGGCAGCAGAAGAGGAGGCCTGAGCCCAGCAGACGGGCCCTGGGAGAGGCATGCTGCTCCTGGGCCTCAGCTTCCCGCCCCTGCAGTTGTGGGGGCCTCCTGGCCTAAGCTGCCAGGCCCATAGGCTTCACGGAGCACAGACATGTCTCCTCTTCACCTGGTTCCCCACGTGGTTCCGGTGAACCTTGCAGCAGCCCCCTGGGGCTGAACCTGGGTGGGTTTCCATGGCTCAGCCTCCAGACTGAGGAGGCTCGTGGGCCAGCAGTTTCCACAGCTGACAGCGGGCTGCAGGCTCTTGTTTCAGACCACCCTCCTCTTCTACCTCTACCCTCCAGTCACCGTGGCCGTTCAAGGCCTTGTCAGGCTTCCGCCCCACATGCCCATCGCTGGAACATTCACCCAGTTCTGGGCACAGTCCCCTGGGCAGAAAGCATGTGGCCACCGCCTCCACCAGTCCCTTCCTTACATCATTGTGCATGTTCTTCTTTGTCTGTCAAGTGACGTACTTAATCATGATGTCACAGATAGCCGTGTAACATGGCACTATTTAAGAGTTTTTAAATGGTGTCATTTGATTCCTGGAGAAGGGAAGGGCTAAGACTGGGGCATCTTGCAGATATTTGAAAACAGGTAGCCCAAGCCCACATCTCTGGTTCATTGTTTTAAGTTACTAGTTCAACTACTGGTGAAATCCCCATGTTTTAAAAAAACAATTGCAGTGAGTCGATTCCGACGTGTGGTGACTCCATGTATCTCAGAGCACAGCTGTGTTTCACGGGGTCTCAGTGGCCGTGCTCTTTTAGAAGACTTTCATCCATGGTATCTCTGGGTGGATTTGAATGACCAGCCTTCTGGTTAGAAGCCATGCACTTAATCATTTGAGGCAGCATGGGCACTTGACTGCCAACCAGAAGGCTGGTGGGTCAAACCCACCAGGCACTCCTCTGAAGGAAGGTCATGCAGTCTACTTCTGTAGTGATACTGCCTCGGAAACCCAAGGAGGGGTCGTTGTATGTCGGATCCAACTTGAGGGCAGTGAGTTTGGTTTGTGGGTGTTTTTTGTTTTGTTTTGTTTTTAATATTAGAGACAGTAAAAATGGTAGCTCAACCCAGAAGTGCTTGTTTGGGGTCTGAGAGTGGTGGTCTTGGGTTTGCCCATGGTTGCAGGCTTCCTGTTTGAGAGTAGACAAACTTTTATTTGCCCTTGACAGTGGCCATCAGGGTTCTGTGATGTTTTTCAGGTGAGCTGCCTTTGCCTGGAGGAGAATGTGGAAAACGACCCCTGTAAATTTGCCCTGACATCGAGGACGGGTGACGTGGTGGAGACCTTTACCTTGCATTCGTCCAGTCCCAGCGTGCGGCAAACATGGATCCATGAAATCAACCAGATTTTGGAGAACCAGCGCAACTTTTTGAATGGTAACATGTCTGCGTGTGCATTGTCTTCCTTGTGTTTGCCTTTCTCTTCTCCTCCAGTTACATCCAATAATAATGACAGGGCTCGTTGAGCACTTAGAGTGTATCAGTGTTCTGAGCACTGTGTGAACTGTACCTCATTTAACCTTCACAGCCATCATGTGTGGCAAGAACTGTTACTGTTCCCATCTTACAAGTGAGGAAGCTGAGGTCCAGAGTGCACCGTCGCTCACCCAGACTCAGATGAGCATTCAAAGCAGGCCGCCTGGCTCCCAGGCAGGTGTCCCTCTCCACCACCCCGCCCCATTGTGCCCCTCACCATCTAGGGCATTCGATCTGTAGTGCTTGTCGACAGCATAGGGCAGGAGATGGAATGGGTGCAGGCCTTGGAGGCCTTCACCAGGGCCCTTGGAATATGTGTTCATTCACACTGCGAGCCCCGCCTCACTCCCCATGAAGACGTCTTCCTGACTCCACCACAGACCGCTTATGGAGGAACTGGGAAGGAACCTGGGAGAGATGTCGCCTCAGCAGAAGGAGTGGCCGTGCTGAGCTCAGGCTGCCTCACTACCTGTGACCTCACGGCTTGTTTGTCTACCACCAAGGCTGCCCTTGACTCTGGTTTCAACTTGGTCGTCACTGACTAGCTCTGAGACTCCAGTCACACCCTGAACATTCATTGGATCATGTCCTTGTCCTTTTCCACATCCTGTTTCTGCACCCCGGCCCCATAGGATGTCTCTGTTTTTTGTCCCAACATAACTACCTCCGTACCTTGAGAATGTAGAACCAGCCAAAAAAACAAGGTCACGAGGCATTTTTGGCCAAATGGTGATCAGCTGCCTGGGTGTTGGCTTCAGATTGCCAGAGTGATGTTTTCCTCCATCTGCAGTTAGACTGGGATGCCTGTCGGGGCAGGGGCTGAGCATAGAGGATGTTCTGAATGCAGATTCCGGGAATTTTCTGTCCTTAACTTCTGGCATTAAAGACCAACCTGTTGGCCACTTACACCCAGCATAGACTGTGGTCACTGCAGCGGCTGTCAGCTGCCGTCAAGGTGGGCCCGCAGCTCATGGCAACCCCGTGTGCTGCAGAGCAGGACTGCTCCCTGGGCTCTTCTTGGCTGTCATCTTTATGGAAGCAGGTTGCCAGCCCTTCTTCCAGGGAGCTGCTGGGTGGGTTCCGACCCTCAGCCTTTCAGTGCAGCAATCACAGACCACCGGCACCACCTAGCCTCCTTACCAAGCATGGAACTGTCGGAAAATAGAAGCTTTATAACTATTGGGAAATACTGAAACTTTAGCATTTTCTTTTTTAAAAAAGGAGAAGAATTAACTGCCGCCCAAGTCACAGAAGCATGATCAGACCATGAAGTTCAAATTTACTGGGACACCTACCCATTCTAGCTCGTAGAAACACAGGCTGCCCCCACTGTCCGGGAGCAAAGCATTCTTGTCATTTCATAAGCCAAAGTGGAGTCAAGCAAAGAAGCAGTTAACCACTAGTTGATACAGGAAAAATTTTTGAACATTCTTAGACCCAAAAAATGACCTAGCAGATCATACCAAATGACAAATCAAAGCTAAAACAGCACTAACTCCAGGGTTCACAGGTGCGGGACAAAGCTGGAGGAGGGCTTGACACAGAGTCACTGCTGGGCGCCTGCCAGCTCTGTACAGACCCTCTGCAAAACAAACTGCCAAATGCCAGCTTCTCTTTTTGCCTTTTTAGTAAAAGCAAAATTCCTCTTTAGATTTCTTTCAGTTAACAAAAACAGGTACTAACATAGGTCTTTGGTAAAAGAGAAGTGGCGTAAAGCAGACTTTGGAGAAGCAAGTGATCCCTGTAATATGGATTCCACCATTTGAATGACTTGCTGCGCTGGGAGCACAGCTATGACCGCCCGTCTTTTCTCCCCCTTCCTGCAGCGGGCGGAGACGCTGGACTCAGCTGCTCTCCCGCTGGTACCAGGGCTCCTGGGCAGGGCTCAGGAGAAGGTTGGAAGAATTGGTATCGGTGCTGCCTTGTATGTTACTTGGCACACGTCCCATTTCTCCTGCAGAGGATTAAGCAGCAAAACTGAATCACTGGTTCAGGGCTTCATGGGCAGCAAGGGTCCTTGTCTTTCACTTCCTTGTCACCTTCGTTCTGCCCATCAAGCAGAGGCAGTCTGTAAAACCAAGGGGCCACTCCCCTCTCTGCCAGTTTCTTCTCTGCTTTCACTGCTTCTGGTGTAAAGACCTGGAGGAAATGGGGTCAGCTTTTCACACCATGGGGGCGGGGGATGACCCGGCGCTGGCAGGGTCTTCATGGGATCTGCCTTGACAGCCCTGCAGAACCCCCAGGGCCCTGTCGTCCTGTTAGCAAGTGGTGTCCTGCCACACAGCTCACTTCCATGGAGAGGGGAGCAGAAGGGAATGAGAGCCTCGCGAACCCTGGTCCCCATTCACTCTGCCTACATCACTGGCGGTCTCCTGCCGCTCCGCCACACCCATTGCCCCGCCCACCACATCATTTTCTCTGTGCTCAGGCAGTGGTGCTGAAGTTGTCACCTTTTCCTCCTTTGCTGCGTGGGGCACCTCTGCTGTCTCCGCGGTCCATGTGTTTGCAGACCGTGACAACCTACTGTGTGGACTGTCCCATGTCTGCATTATGGGACCGCAAGGCCTTTTGATTGCAGGATGGCCTCTCGCCTTTGCCTGGGGGGCTCTTTCTCCGGAGCCCTGGCTGAACCTTTCCTGCTGTGTCTTGCTTTCTTGCAGCCTTGACGTCACCCATCGAATACCAGCGGAACCACAGCGGGAGCGGCGGGGGCGGCAGCGGCGGTGGGGGGGGCGGCAGCGGCGGCCCCGGCAGCAGCGGCGGCAGCAGCAGCAACCACAGCGGGGGCCCTGGCAGCTGCAGCGGGATGCCCAGCGCGAGCAGGAGCAGACCGTCCCGGATCCCCCAGCCCGTCCGACACCACTCCCCAGTGCTGGTCTCCTCTGCTGCCTCGGGCCAGGCCGAGGCAGACAAGATGGCAGGTACGCCCACTCACGGCCCCTCTCTGCCTCCTCCCAGCAGCAGCCCTGCCGCGGAGGCTGCGCCCAGCCAGCCGAGCCGGCCCCCTCCCAGTGGGGCCTGTGAGGGCCCCGAGGGGGAAGCGGAGCCGATCCCCAAGATGAAGGTGATGGAGAGCCCCAGGAAGTCCGCCCACGGGAATGCCAAGGAGGCACGGAGCCCCCCGGAGGACAGCCGCCCGAGAGGCAGCCTGGGCGCCCTGCCCCTGGCGAAGCCCCGGCCTGGGGCCACCTCGCCCCTGAACTCGCCACTCTCCAGCACGTTCCCCTCCCCCTTCGGCAAGGAGCCTTTCCCTCCCAGCAGCCCCCTGCAGAAGGGCGCTTCCTTCTGGAGTTCCACCCCGGCCTCCCCCGCCAGCCGGCCCGGCTCCTTCACCTTCCCGGGGGACAGTGACTCCCTGCAGCGGCAGGCACAGCGCCACGCGGCCCCCAGCAAGGACACGGACCGTATGAGCACGTGCTCCTCGGCCAGCGAGCAGTCCGTGCAGTCCACCCAGAGCAACGGGGTAAGCCCGCCGCGGAGCCCGGCCTGCCCACCTGCAGGCGGCTCTTCTAAACCTCCCGTGTCGCCGTCCGTCCTCTACTAACTCCTGGCTCTGCGGCTGCCCTGCGGTAATCGACTCTGCGGCCTCCTTCACTGACCACACAGACTCTGTGTTGCTGTGTATGTGCGGGTGCGCGTGAGCCGCGGGCCAGGCGGACGCGAGCGGACACAGCCGACTTCCACTAACGCTCTCCTTGCTTGTATGTGTCTCCTTAACAAGACAAAGCTGGTCTCTAACCTCCGACTGTGCCACCTGTGAGTCTGTCAGCGTCCCGGCCAGCAGCCGCCCTGGGACTTCCTTCTTCCAGCCCTGCTTTCCTGCACCCAGGTTTTGGAGGGGCCGTTCTCCTTGCTCTGCACCCCCGTTCTAACTGGAGTCTGTTCACTTTAAACTCTGCTCATCACTGGGTTTTGCTCTATTATGCCTTAAATTATCTTTGCAGCATTCTTGACTCATCTGCTGAAAAAAAAACCCTCAGAAAAACTTCCAACAGCAGCTCAGAGCACGCTAAGCCGACCAAAAGGGGGGAGGAACTGATGCGGTGGGAAAGTTCTCCAGCCGGGCTCCACTCTGAGAGACACTGGGAGCGTGTCTGGCGAGGCCAGTTCCAGCCAACCCCAGGGCCTGGATGTGCAGCGGCTCTGCCATCCAGCAGGGGGCGCAGTGCGGGGCCCTCGCCCACCTCAGCAGAGGGGGCACGGGGCATCTAGGCCCTCCCTTTTCCTGTTGCTTGCGTTGGGTTCTGAAGCCTGAGGGCTGCTGTGGCGGGTTTTCCTCATTTCATGGCTTCCTCACTGTCCTAGCCGGCTGTTCCCTCCACAGCAGGCAGCCTGGCCCATGACACTTTCCTAAAGGCATGCATGAGTGAGTAGAGCCATTCTAAGGAGTGTGTGTTTGAGCTCTTTATAAATTTTTAATACGTTTCTTTCTGTGTTTCTCTTTATATATATATATATATATATAAGAAAAAAACCCTGGCTTTTGCATGTACTTCCCTTTCTTCTGGACTTTATGAATGCCTTGTTGGGTTGATTGGCTCTCGTCCTTTCCTCCTCCTTTTTGTTAGGTATTTTTGTTAAACTCAGTCTTTATACTAATGGGTCTTGATACATTGATTTGTACCCGAGTCTCAGCTTCAAAGGTCAGTGTTCAGGCAGGCCCCTCTTCAGGGGCTGTTACCCAGTGGTTCCTCACTGTGTCCTGCTGGGCAACTTACCCTCCAGGTTACGTTTGAAGTACTAGGTGGGCAGGTGAGCATCAGCCAGAGAAAGAGGTGCCAATGGCCCAGGAAGAGCCCAAGCCTACAGCACTTGCCAGCGGCAGGACGTCTCCAGGTGTGGGCACGGCCTGATGGCTGTGGCCCCATGACCCCTGCCCGGCAGCTTTTCCTGCTTCAGAACAAACACCTCAAATGCTCCTCCTCGTGAGCCAGTGCTGTCTCTGGGTGTTTTAAGATAAAAGACACCTGTTCCAGCAAGTTCTCAGTGGGGAGCATGACCTAGGATTTCAGCCTCCTGTTTTCTCGAGTGTGGCAAAGCCAGAAACCAAACCCACCACCATCAAGTTGGTTCTGACTCATAGCAACCTTGTAGCACAGAGTAAAACTGCCTCATAGGGTTTCTCAGGCTATAAGTCTTTACAGAAGCAGGCTGCCTTATCTCTGTCCTGAAGAGTGGCTGAGGGGTTCAGACCGCTGGCCTTTCGGTTAACGGTGATGTCTGAAATTGCCCAACAGTGTTTTACAAAATCTCTTGCTGCTGAGTCCAACTCAGGGTGACCCTGGTGTGTCAGAGTAGAGTTGTGCTCTGTAGGGCGTTCAGGGCCTGATGTTCAGAGGAGATTGTCAGGGCTTCCTCCACAGGTGCCTCGGGGGGGACCCAGACCGCCCACCTTTTAGGTTTCAGCTGAGCACCTTCACCGTCTGCACCACCCAGGGACCCGGCAGTGTCTTGGACAAGTCAAAATGTCTTACAGAAATGTCCTTGCTGGGAAGCAGCTAGAGGCCTAGAGTGGGGATTGGAAATGTGCCCCAGGACAAGGGTTTAGGTTCAAAGGAGCTGTCTCCCCACCCCCACCCATCTGGGCCAGATTGTCCACTGGGCATATCACAGAGGTGTCCTTTCACACAGCCTCGTCCACGGACTGTCTGAGGTCATAGCCAACAGCGGCTCCTAACCCACAGCCCAGGCCCCTATGCAGCACCATCTATGGAAGGTTTCCTCAAGAGCAGGGTGGAGTGAGTGGGGGTCAGCCTGAACAGCGGCCATGGGGCTGGCCTCTAACTGTGCCCAGACCGGGTGTGCCCAGCCCCAGCTGTCACAGGCCAGGAGTTCCTGGAGAGATTGGCTGTCCTCTCTTCCCCTGTCTAACCCTCCCTGTGATGGCTGTGGGCATTAAATGAGGTCCCTGTTAAATGCCCAGTGCAGCACCTGGCCCAGGGGAGAGGTCAGCACAATCATCACTGTTACCATGGTTACAACACACATCCTAGTGTGGCATCCTTAGAGCAGCTCTGCCACACAAGTTTTTTATTTATATTTTCTAGCAAGTTTGTCTTTGTAACTTCAGAACCACTGGGTATTGCCGTGTCATTCTGAATAATAAAGTACAAGCTAAAAGAGTCTGTGGTAGTCTGAGCACATGCGCAAATAGGCCTAACATGCACAGGGTCCTCTGAGCCGAGGGACCATGGACAACAGTGGCCTCCAAGGCGGTGGGTATGGATGGCAGAGTCTAGCTCCTGTATGTTTCAAATGCCCCGATGGATGTAAACCTGCAGCCCTGATCCCCAAAGCTAGCAGCATGCTGGTGTGTGGGCTCCCCCAGAGAAGCCCACCCTGCAAGGAGGGCTGACCACAAACCTGGCAGGTTGTCTGACCCATAGCCTCTGTGCTGCCCAGGCCCTGCCCCCGGGCTCTGAGAGCCCAGCAGAGGCTGGCTTGTTGGAGCCACGGAACATGTGGGTGTTGCCCGAGTACAAGTTGAAAGGATGGGCGCTTGGCTCTGTTCCTGCCTCCCAGCTGTGGGCAGACGGGACGTGGGCAAGGTGCAGCTCAGTGTTGGGCAGTGGTCACTGCTGTGTCCTTCCCTGGAACAAAGCTGTCCCTTGTGAATTGAGAACTGAGGCATGCCTGGCATTTGCGTTTCTGGCTTCTGTTCAGCTGCTCATGCCACGTGGCCTGCAGCCTTAAATCGCCGTTCATCTCTGTGACAGACCATAAGGGTACAGTAGTGACTCAATGAGATTCAGGTCTCCTGGGGCTGCAGGGAAGGGGAGCCTGGGTGGGCTTTCATGCTCGAGGTCTGGTTCAGAAGCCTATTGGGTGTCAGCCGTGGGTGGCAGTGGTGCCTGCAGCCAAGTGTCGTCATGACAGCAGTGCCTTGGCTCACACACACTTGCTCCAAGGAGGGCCTGCTGAGCAGCCCTAGGCGGGGCAGAGCGCTCTCCCTGGGGGACCAAGCGGCAGTGGGTTTACTGCTCAGTGTTCCACGTCCTTCCTTTAACAGGGATGACATGGCGGTGATTCGGCAGACTTAGTGTGGGTCCCGAATACACTTTGTTGATGCATCTGGCAGATAGGGTGGCTTCTGCGTTGTCTAACCCATCACTGAGCCGGAGAGCTGCTCTCTGTGGCTTTTAAACTTCATTGCATGGAACATGTTGGGGTGGCAACCACCTAGTGTGACATCAATGGGAAGAGGAGGCTGTTGCTGTGAGGTGCAAGGAAGGTTAGACCACAATACTAATCAGACTTCCAAACAACGGTGTCGCCATCGAGGTGGTTTTTTTAGATTGTTCCCAAATTGCTTTCTAGAGAAGTCCTGCTGCTTTACTTCCTGAAGACGATACACTCGGTAGCCAGGGCGATCTGGAGGAGCAGTTAGCAGAGCCTCCGCGCATGTCCGGCAGACCTGCTCCAGGTGGTCCTGTAATGGGACAGACTGACGAGGGAGTGTGTTTCCAACCTCTCGATTCAGACCCCTCTGCCTCTCTGTCCCCTTGTCCCTCTGCAGAGTGAAAGCAGCAGCAGTAGCAGCATCTCCACCATGTTGGTGACACACGATTACGTGGCAGTGAAGGAGGATGAGATAAACGTGTACCAAGGAGAGGTCGTTCAAATTCTAGCCAGCAACCAGCAGAGCATGTTCTTGGTGTTCCGAGCCGCCACTGACCAGTGCCCCGCCGCTGAGGGCTGGATCCCGGGCTTCGTCCTGGGGCACACCAGTGCAGTCGTCCTGGACAACCCCGATGGGACCCTCAAGTGAGTGTCTGTCCACCCTCCCAGGAGGCTGTGGGCAGCGTGAGGCAGGAGAAGCACACGTGGAGTAAGGCAGAGCCACTGCCGTGGAGTCAGTTCCAACTCCTGGTGACCCTGGAGGACAGAGCAGAACTGCTCCGTGGGGTTTCCAAGGCTGTTATGTTTATGAAAGCAAATTGCCACATCTTTCTCCCCCAGAGCAGCAGGTGGGTGTGAACTGCTGACCTTTCGGTTAGCAGCCATGCACTTAAGCACTGCACCACCAGGGTTCCTATTAAAATAAGGAAGGGCAGAAGTGCATGGAAGGGAAAACAGCGCTGTTACTCACCAATCCTTTTTATACTTCGTTGAGCAATGGTCTTGGGCGGGCCCCTTGTGTTTGCACCTGTGTCACTTGGTTGGAGAGATGGCTGGTTTGCTCTTGGCTACTGAGAGCCACAGGAATGTGTTCTGCGACAGAGGTCACAGCAGGGAGAGGTCTGTGGGCACCCAGCCCCCTTGGAAGTCTGCTGTTCAGTCCTCTGATGCCTTCCAGTGTCATTTGCTGAACATTGTAAGGGCAGAGCGCTAACGATGCCTTATTTTCCCCTTAGGAAGTCAACATCTTGGCACACAGCTCTCCGTTTAAGGAAAAAGTCTGAGAAAAAAGATAAAGACGGCAAAAGGGAAGGCAAGTTAGAGAACGGTTACCGGAAGTCGCGGGAAGGACTCAGCAACAAGGTGTCTGTGAAGGTGAGTGGACCTGGGCCGCCTCCAGCTGGCAGCAACATCCTGCGGGGTCTGCTAAGAGGCTTCCTGGGGACCCAGCCTCTGCCACAGCTGTGATTCTCAGCACAGTACCAAGGACACGCACGTCCCTAGGGGCACACGCCTTACGGAGACCCGCACGAGATCTCTCCATGAAGCAGAGAGACTTGGTTCTCAGCGACAGAAGCAAAGATGCCATGGCCGGAGCCCTTCCTCAGTGGCCGGTCTCGGGACGGAGGGCAGGAACTGCAGCCGAGATGCAGGCTCAGAGGCTCTGCCAGGTCCTCTGGGGGCTACTAGGTCCAGCTGCCACCCTGATCCCACTCATAGCACCTCTAGAGGACAGAGCAGAGCGTCCCGGGGGTTTCTCAGGCTGTCATCGTCATGGAAGCAGATCACCAAGTCTCTGCTCCCATGGAGCAGCTGGTGGGTTAGAACTACCAATCTTTGGGGTCTCCCTGAGCGCTTAACCACTGGACCCTAGGGCTCCTTTTCCAGCGTCTAGTTCTCTGTAGTCAGATTGCCTCCTTCCTATGAGGTTTCACCTGGAGAGAAAGCAGCAGCCCCCTGAAAGGGAATCCAAGCACGTGGCTGCCTGGCAAGGAGGCCTGGCAGCAGCTGACCCAGCCCCTGGGATGGGAGGGGCAGCTCCTGCCTCAGCAGCATTTGTGGGGAAGGGAGTGGGAAGGAAAAACCACACCCAAATCAGGATGAGGTGAAGCTTTTGCATGGTTTAAAGGCAGTGAAAACAAACATGGTCTGTTTTGATTAATACTCAGGCAGGTCCAATTATATTTCCCCTCATCTTTTGACGAAGGTTGTGGCTCTGGCTTGAAAGTAGCATTCCTGAAAGAGTTCTTCATCTTGGTTCATACCTGTGTGCTTTTCGTTTCAGCTCCTCAATCCCAACTACATTTATGATGGTGAGTTCTGCCATTTTATTATTCTCATCTTGTAGACTAGAGGCCTAGGGAGCATCTCACAATACTCAGTATAACCTTTGCATCTTTTTCTCTGTGCTCTGGGCTTGGGCGACGGTCTGGGTCTTACTGGTTTGTCAGGAAAGCAAGGGCCGGGGGCTGAGGGAGGGAGCGCAGCACACCAGGACTGACCTGCTCCCACCCTTGCAGTTCCCCCAGAATTTGTCATCCCACTGAGTGAGGTCACGTGTGAGACAGGGGAGACCGTTGTTCTTAGATGTCGTGTTTGTGGCCGCCCCAAGGCCTCCATCACCTGGAAGGGCCCTGAACACAACACCTTGAACAACGACGGGCACTACAGCATCTCTTACAGGTGAGGGGTCCTCCGGGTTGGGGCCGTGGTATATAACCAAGGCACTGCTTGTCACTGACTGATGGGTCAGCTCCCTCGATCCCCTTCAGCAGTCACACCTCCCCGTGAGGGGGTGAGCACATGTGCAGTGGGAAGCCCTTAGGACCCCTCACCAGATCTGGAGCTCCTGGCTCCCTGGGCCCTGAGGGGAGGTTAGGCAAGGAATGGTGGTGGGCGGGGATGCAGAGCCTGCTGACGCCGGGTGTCCCCATGTGACAGTGACTTGGGAGAGGCCGCTCTGAAGATCGTCGGCACGACCACGGATGACGACGGCCTCTACACGTGCATCGCGGTGAACGACATGGGCGCCGCCTCGTCGTCGGCCAGCCTGCGGGTTCTAGGTGAGCTGGCCCCAAGCAGGAGGCTCACAGTACCTTCCCTGACGTCACTCGGCATGTAGCAGTGAGTCACTCAGGGCCTTCCAGAAGAGAGCTTCAGGCTCAGGCCACAGGCACAAGGAGAGTGACCGCAACACCACTCAGAGGGCCTGAGGGCGAGGAGGATGGGGTATGGATGACCACCCCACTTGGCACTGGACACCCTGGCAGCCATCATCTGAGTTGGCACCCAGGGGCTTCCTGTGCTCGTAGGGCCCACAGACACGTTCTATTTTCAGAATTTCCAGGTGACCCTGTGACTTCAAGAGAATCTACCCTAAATTGGTCTCATTTAGAATAGAAATAAAAAGGAAGGCGAAGAGGGTGAGGTGGGCTGAGCACCAGTCTGCACCGGGCCCGGCCGGCGTCCAGGGTCCTCTCAGCCACCCCGACAGGGCGTCCTAGCCTCCGGGCCCCGGGCCAGGTCTGAGGTCCTCTCAGCCACCCCAACGGGGCGTCCTAGCCTCCGGGCCCCCGGCCGGCATCCAGGGTCCTCTCAGCCACCCCGACAGGGCGTCCTAGCCTCCGGGCCCCCGGCCGGCATCTGACGTCATCTTAGTCACCCCAACGGGGCATTCTGTCCTTTGTGTGGCATGAGACCCACACACACTGCTGTAAAGTCCTCCCTGTTCCCTCAATCCATCGGAAGCCACTTGGGCAGAGCCTGCGTCTCAGGCCCCTTAAACTCCCTGCGGCACTGCCTGAGACGTGTCGCCTCCCAGGAGACCACACGTGATTGGCTTCTCACTGCTGTTCAGGGAAGGTCCACCAGGTCATGCCAGGCTGTGGAGACCGCCCCCTCCCTGCCCCCCACCTGCCACCCCAGACGTGGGAAGCTGCTCCCAAGAGGGAACCCGAGAGTCCACACCAAGAGGTGAGGGGTAGCCTGGCACCCCGTGTGCAGACAGCATGGAGTCTCGGAAGCTTTAATTCACACACTGTAACCTCACTGAAGCATTCTGACTTGTGGCTCATGGCGTGAGGAGGGGTGACAGAACCACTGGCTTTCTCATTTTAGAAAGAAATGGCACAGACCATGCAGATGATCCTACTTCTGACAGTAGGAGTGATAAGTCTGGCGAGATGAGACCCTGGGCCTAGGGTGGTGATGGGAGAGGAGGCTGGTGTTTGTTCTTGTCATACCAGCCATGGACTGCCCCCTCCAGGTCTCTGGATGAATAGCATCAGCCCACTTCCAGACGACCCAGCCGGTCCACAGTGTCCTCTCCTAGAAGCCATGTTTTCCACAGTCATCAGTGATTTGTCCTCATTTGTGTGCCTGTCACGCACATAACGCACTGTCTGTGTAGAGGTGGCTCCCACATGCACGAGCTGCCAGAGCCTGAACCTGCTTCTTCCCAGCCCCGCTGCCCCAGAGCCCCTCAGCTGTTGAGGAAGCAGAGGGCGGCCTCAGGCTCTGGCTGTGTCGCTGTGTTGGGCGGACAGGTGGATCTTCAAGTCTGCTGTTGGCCAGGGAGGTGGCTTCTCGGGTCTGGCTGCCAGAGGCAATCCCATGTCTGGAGTAGGCAGTGTTGTAGGCACAAGGGCATGTGCACAGGCTTGTCGCTGTGCCAGGCAGCCTGACCCAAAAAGCAGACCCGGTCGTGTCACCAGCCGCAGGGCAGCCTCCGAGAGAGACAGGGAGGGCGGGTGGCCCGGAGAGGTTCTGGGCGTTGTCATGCTCGGCCTTTTCATCAGACGCAAGTTAAGGAGTTGACATTTATGGTTTTGCACATTTTGGCTTGTATGTGATACTAATGCAAACAATTATTTTTAAAAAAATGAGAAGGAAAATCAAAAAGGGGAAATACTGTCTTTTGGAGTTACAAGTCCCTTATTTTTTGCCATTTCTGCCATTTTCCCATGTGTGATTCAGTGCATTAATTACAGCCCCTATATTGGGCGACCATCACCACTCTACATTTCCAGAGTTTTCAACACTCTGAACTGAAACCCAGTATTTCCTGACGTGACTTGGTAAACCAGGAAAAACCAAACCCACTTCCGTCAAGTCAGTTCCAACTCATAGCGACCTCCATTGGTTTTCTGAGGTGGCAAATCTGTACGGAACTAGATTGCCCTGTATTCCTTCCGTGGAGTGGCTGGTGGGTTTGAACCACCAGCCTTCTGGTTAGCAGTCAGATGCCTTAGGCACTGTGCTACCAGAGCTCCTTATGGGAGTTGGTAGACGTTTCAAAGTGGTGAAATGACTTTATTTTTAAATGAAACTTCATCTGGAATTCCCTACCTGGGTGGGAGACACTGTGAGGAGCAGAATGTTGGCTGTGCAGGCATTGGGAGTCGAGGCAGGTGGAATCCTAGCCTCCCCACAAGCCTTAATGAGAAAGGCCACGAAGGCAAAGGGCTCTTGGGTTCAGTGGGTAATGCACCGCCCCACTTCGTCTATGTCTTTCAGTGACTGTGTGCTGGGCATTCGTTGCATGTCTGTGAGGATCTGACCTTGTGCAGTTTGCAGCCTCCTGAACCCTGCTGGTCAGGAAACCTGGCACCCCACAGAGGTGCTGGGGGTTAGCTGTGGAAGGAGCCTTGGAAAACAAACTCAGACAGGGTTCAGGGAAACGCCATTCCAGGTGGCCACCTGGGCAGAGGTGAGAACACCCAGGCTGCATATTGAGTTGCTTCCAACTCAACAGCAATCCTGTAAGACAAAGTGGAACTGCCCATGGGGTTTCCAAGGCTATAATCTTTATGGAAGCAGACTGCCACATTTTTGTTCCATGCAGCTAGTGGTACATTGGCTTTTCAATTTGCAGCCGAGCACTTAGCCACTGCGCCACCAGGGCTCCTTCAGGCTTTCTATAGGAATGAGCAAATGGTTGCTTTGGTTATAGCCAAGCACAGGTGAAATGGCGGAGGCAGAAATCAGGGTGGGGAGAGATGGTGATGGCGGCAGCCAAGGACTGGCAGCCAGCTGCGGTGATTGTTGTTGTTAAATGCTGTTGAGTCAGACCCGACTCATAGCGACCCCTCCTTGGGTTTCCGAGGCAGTATCACTACGGAAGTAGATTGCCCAACCAGGATCTGCTAATGGCTTTTTGCAGGAGGACTTGACAGAGGATTGCTGGGTTCATCTTTGCACTTGCCTCGCTCGAGATTCATTACTCAGGTGGTCGGGTTGCTCAGGTATTGATGTTAGGAAATCCTTTCTGTATTTCTGGTATACAATGGCCTGTTAACTGTGTCAAACCCTGTGACAGTGAGCAGATCTTGTCGGGGGGCCTGGTCCCCATTGCTGTGTGAAAGCACCCTGGGCTGACAGACCTGCCCTGGGAGTCGGTGTGGCTGGGCAACTAGGCAGGGATGGTCAGTCCAATAGAAAGAGAACTCCGGTCACATGTGTCACTGTAAGACTGCTAATAGCCACCTTAACAGTAAGAGAAAGCAGTGGAATTAGTTCTATTCACGTTCTTAGTTTATCCTGACAGAGCCCCAGGGTATTTTTGTTTGAACATAAAGTCAATGTTTTTCAGGTTTGTTTGTTTTTTTTCTTTTCAGTTTGGTCCTTAATTCCCGTAAGACATGGTTATTGTTAGTACTGTTTTTGCTCTCTTTGTTGTTGATGGTGCCATCAAGTCGCTCCAGCTGGCAGCAGCCCCGTGGGTCAGGAGTGGCACTGCCCCCATAGAGGTTTCCTTGCCCGCAGCCTTTAGGGGAGCAGAGCACCAGGGGGTTCTCCTGCAGAGCTGCTCAGTGGGTTCGAAGCTCCAGCCTTCTGCCCAGCTGAGCATGTAACCTTTGCACCAACAGGGCTTCTCTCTCTCTCTTTTTTTTTTCCTTTACCAAAATGACTGCTGGGTGTTATGCGCTCTCTGCTTTCACACGGAGTCCTCACATCTGGGGAGCGTTTTACACATACGGTGGCTCTCCCTACCGATGGCCACCTTTGGCCACCAGCCTGGCCTGCGCAGGCCGCCTTACCCAGCAGCTCCATAGGAGACTGAGCACCTGTAAGGTCCTCTAGGGTTGCCACATGTCAGAATCAACTGACAGCAATGGGCTGGGTGTGGTTTGCCCCGAGCTCAGATCCTCACGCTCAGAGGAGATGCTGCATTGTTGCAGGTCCAGGGAGTGATGGCATCATGGTGACCTGGAAGGACAACTTCGACTCCTTCTACAGCGAAGTGGCTGAGCTTGGCAGGTACCGTGCAGAACCCGGGCCCTGCAGGAAGGGCAGAGTCCGATACAGCACAGCACGAGAGGACACTGATCAAGTTAAACCTGTGCAGAGTGTCAACAGTCGGGTGATTGGTGTGTCGTGACAGAAGTGTGGTCCGTCACCACCTTAACCTCCTGGGTTTAATCTAAAGAAGCCTTTTGCAGGGCGGGTTCTAAGAGAGAATTCAGGCCCTAAGCCACCACTTTCTGCAGTGAGCCAGTGTCTCCACTTTCGAGACTAGGTTTAGCTGCATACTGCTCTCCAGAGGGTCAGGAGAGAGGCCCCACACCATCTTGGGGAGCCTGCTGAGAGAGGCTGTGTCCTTCACCCATCCGCCATGTGTGGAGTTAGAAGGACATGTCATCAGAGGCAGGGTCTGGTAGGACAGGACACGCAGTGGTCAGGATGCCCCTGTCCAGCTGGCTGGCTGGGCCACGGCTCAGCAGGGCTTTCCACATCCGTGCTACACAGCAGCCCTGTACACCAGGCATTTCATCCCATGTGACAGGATGAGAAAGGTCAGAGTTACGCCAACTGAGTCTGTCCCTTTTAAAGTACCTCCAGGAAGCCCCACCCGGCAGCCCCACTCACACACTCCACCATAACTGGTCCCGTGGCCCTTGCATCTGTTGTTGTGTTGTTAGGTGCCATTGAGGCGGCTCCGACTCAGAGCAAGCCTGTGTTCAGCAAAACAAGACCCTGCCCAGCCCTGCACCATCCTTAAAATCCTTGCTAGACTCGAGCCCGTCAGTGTAGCCCCTGTGTCAGTCTGTCTCGTTGAGGGTCTGCATCTGTGGCTGCCTTGAAACCACAGCGATGTATTGTGCCCCATGTGCTGTGGGTGGACCGGGCGGTTACTTTGTAGGTCTTCTGTGCTCAGCCAGCTGGCACACCCTCACTGACTCTCAGCCTGGACACCAGGCCTCACTCCCTGTCGCTGTCCACCTTGGGCTCCCCCACCTGATGGTAGAAGCCTCCAAGAGAGCCAAGCCCCCGAGGCCATCGTACTCTCTCCAGATTCCTCCACATTGTGTGGGTCACAGCCAGGCTCGGAGGGAGACCCGGACCCCCGCCCCCACTCGATGCACTGGCGGGGAGTCGCACAGGGTTTGCAGTGGTCTTTAGTCCACCTCAGTCTGCCTCCAGCCTGAGATTTACTTACAGATCCCACACAAGCAAGATACATATTTACCCCCACCCCCCGGTGTCATTGGGTGCTGTCCAGTCGGCTCTGACACACAACAACCCTGCATACTGCAGAATGAAGCTGCTGGGCCCAGCACCACCCACACAGTGGTTGCTGGGATAGAGCTCACTGGTGCTCCCCCAAACCCCCCACCCCAGTAAAACGCCAACTCACTGCCATTGAGTCATTTCCGACTCAGCAACCCTTCCTTGGGTTTCCGAGGTGGGATCTCTGCAGAAGTAGATTGCCCAGCCTTCTTTCCAAGGAGTGGCTGGAGAATCTGAACCGCCAGCCTTCTGGTTAGCAGTCAGATGCCTTAGGCACTACGCCACCAAGTTCCCAAGTCACATCATAACCACAGGCTCCAGCTTGAGGGCCCAGATCTTGTTATCTAAAAGTCTGAGTGTAGGTAAAACTCTCCAGGTGTGCTTTACTAGGTGGGAAGAGACCTGTGGACAACAGAGACAAGTTAGCTGCCCCCACACAGGCAGCATGCACACGTGCACACACAGTGCAGCATGTGTGCACACTTAGTGTGCACACATGTAGCACACACACACAGGCAGCACGTACCTACAGGCATTGCACACACGAGATGAAGGCAGCACAGGAAGTGGCTGTGACAGACTCCCCCAGTCGTAAAGTGCGGGGGGAGCAGGGGGCACAGGAAGGGGCTTTGACAGGCATCCCATTCATGAAGTACGTGGGAGCAGGTGAGCTCCCGCTGAGCAGATCATCTCATACACCTTCACCAGGTGAGGGTCGTTTGCCATGTGAATGATGGGGCGCTCCTTTATAAGGCCTAGGCTCTAAAGTCTCATCATGTCACTTCTTCCCTTGAGCCCAGATGTAGGGGTGAGGAGATGGGCTCTGCTTCTGGCAGTCCCGTGGCTGAGGGCCTGGACACGAACATCATTAGCTAGGGTCACCAGCGCCTCCGCAGGAGTGGCTGGGGTGTCAGGCTGTGGATGGGGCTTGGCTGCCTGCTTCACAGCCCATGAGGTACCATGCTGTGGAGGGGGCTTGGCCATTAGCCAGTGGAGGCTGCCCACTTCAGCCCATGTACGTGAAGTCTCTTGCATCCCTGAGTCCAGATGCTACTGTCTTCTCATCACTTCTTACAGGGGCAGATTCTCTGTCGTTAAGAAATGTGACCAAAAAGGAACCAAGCGAGCGGTAGCCACCAAGTTTGTGAACAAGAAGTTGATGAAGCGTGACCAGGTCACCCATGAGCTCGGAATCCTGCAGAACCTCCAGCACCCCTTCCTCATTGGCCTCCTCGATACCTTCGAGACCCCCACCAGTTACGTCCTTGTTCTGGAAATGTGCGTGCATGCCAGGCTCCCCTCCTGATAACCCCAGTTTCAACTCTGGGAGCTTTCCTTTCTCTCTGTGTGTGTATGTGTGTGTAAGTGTGTGCCCGTGCATGTGTGCAGGGGATCACTCCCCAAGTGAGCATGGTAGAAACTGAGAAGTGTCTAACACACCTCCTTACTATCACAGAGCTCGGAGTTGGGGCTTTTCAGCAGTGTCAGGAAGGGGGAGCGTCTCCAGTCTGCACTGTCCATCCAGGGGCGGTCACACCTGTCAGAGCAGCCTTGTTCCCCTAGGCTGTGCACTGGCTCTCAGATAACCGGGAGATCCCGCTGGCTTCCTCGAGGCTCAGAGTGCTTATCCAACTGGCACCTTCCGTGGCTCCTGAGGTTGACTTTACCCAAGTGTCAGCTCAAGGTGGTCCTTGCTCAGGGGAGGGGTTGGCGTGGGCTCTCTGAGGCCTGCTTCTGTCTAGTTCCTCAGGCATCTGTGCTGTCTCGGGTTGCCTGCCAGCCCCCAGGACTGATGAGAAGGGGCCTGTGTGCCTCCCCTGACCAGTGAGCATGAGGGCACTCCCTCAGCAGCTTTGTGGGCATCCCTGGGCATGGTGGCTTCTTCGTGAGCCCTCGGCAAACAGCTCAGTTGTCAAAAAGCCCGTGACCCTAAAGCAGCAGTCCCCAAATGGGAGCAGCTTTGCCCCCAGGGAACATCTGGAAGTGTTTGGAGACATTTTAGGCTGTCAGACCTTGGGGAGGGGGTGAGGCTGGGGGTTCTGCCAGCACCTTGAGAGTAGAGGCCAGGGATTCCCCTAAACATCCTACAGTGCTTAGGACAGCCCCCTCCATAGAGTTACCCGCCTTCACGTAAGTAGTGCCAAGGTGGAGACACCCTGCTCTCACACTGTCTGGTCTCTGAAACAGCTTTGCATCTAGCTTTTTGCAATTTCCGGTCCTCCTCCTTAGGGGAGACAATTCGTACATTTCTGTGGAACCCAGCTTATTGTCCACTTTGCCACCATGCATAAGTTGTTATCCACGCTCAGGTGGAAAGTGTGGGGTTAGCAGGACCTTCCAAGTTGTGTCACGTAGGGGCAGGTTCACCATGAGGATAAGGTGCAACCTCCCACATCTCATGTGCATGGGGTCCCACAGTGCCCTGTACCTGACGTCCGTTTGTTTTATTCTTCTGCTTAAAGGCGTTGTTAGTGTTGCCACCCACATGCCTTATGGGGTGGCGCTGCCACAGGGCCACTCAGCCCAGATCCAGCCTGGACACCTCTTGTTGGCCCATCCCGACCCTGGGTGATGGCAGTGTTTGAGCAGGCTGTGGCTGCCAGGGCTGCAAAGTTCAGACCTCACAGTGGGAAGTTGGGGGACGTTTTCCAGCCCCTCTCTTTAGAATGGAAACCATACCCCGTGGCAGAAGGGTACACGAGGCTGCCTGAGTCCTTGCCCGGGAGGACCAGTGGGTCCTAACGGAGTTAGTGGGCTCGAGCTGACTTGGTTCTGCTGGTCCTGCCCGGCCTCCCACTGCCACGTGTCCTGGGGCTCATTTCTCTGCCTGTTCCCTTTAAAACCATGCCTACCTTGACGGGTGGAGCTGAAACAAGGGACTGACAGCCCAACACAGGCTCCAGGGGCCTCCTGTCTGCTTATAGAAGGTCACCAGCTGATGGCAACTGCATATCTTCCCTGGGGACTTTGAACAAGCAGTTGCTGGGGTCCTGTCAGAGCTTTCCTACAAGGCTTAAGATGCTAGCGCTTCCAAATCGCTGTGGTCTCTGTTCACTGGAGAGTGACGTGGTCTGACTTCACCGTACTGGTTGGTAGGGCGTATTTTCATAACAAATCACGCCTGAACTCTTGCTGGTGGCTCCCCAGTGGACAGGCCTGGTCTTCCTCCACATCTCTGTTTTGCAGAGAGCAGCATAGAGCAGAGGTTTAGAGAGCCTGTGGCCAGACCCAAACGAACCAGCCAGCCTATGGCCATCAAGTGGGGTCCGACTCAGCAACCTGACGTGTTACAAAGTAGAACTGTTCCACAGGAGCTTTGTTCACCAGAGTCTTTAGGGACGCACCTCACCAAGTACAGGGCTTCAAACTGGTTTGTTCCTGTTTGGCCCCCTGCTGAGAAGCCCCACCCCCAGCCTAGACTCCCTGAGTCAGAATCTACATTTCTAACAGGATGCCCAGGTGCTCTGTGGACTTGGGGATCTTGTGGAACAGTAGCTTCTGTTTCAGTGTGTCTGGGCTGGAAATGCAAGCTCTCAGCAGGGGCTTGGCCCAGCTCAGAGTCCTGGCCAGATCTTCTAAAGTACCTCTGTTGTTGTTATGTGCTGTCAAGTCAGCCCTGACTCATAGCGACCCCTCCTTGGGTTTCCAAGGCAGTATCACTACAGAAGTAGGATTGTCCAACCTTCCTTCTGAGGAGTGGCTGATGGGTTTGAACCACCAGCCTTCTGGTTAGCAGTCAAGTGCCTTAGGCACTATGCTACCAGAGCTCCTAAAGTACCTCTAGGTGGGTCAAACCATCAGCCTTTATTCAGGTTGATAGTGAAGCATACACCATTGGTGCCGCCTGGGGCCCTTTGTGGGCCAGACCACCTGGTTCCAATTCCAGCTTCCATATTTACAGGTTGTGTGACCTTGGGAAAGCTGGATGCCTTCTCTGTGCCTTTGTTTCCTCATGGGGGGCCATTCCTATGGGGTGTAAATGAGTCCCCAGCCCATGTGCTGTGTCAGATCCCCTCAGAGTAGGAAGACTGAATCCAGTGTCTCGTCGGTACTGTCTGTTTATTTACGTTATCTCTTTCAGTCTTCACATCACCCATTTTACAAATAAGGAAACCAGAGAGGCTCAGAGAGCGGCCTGACTGTACTTTCTCATTCAGCAATTGCCCCTAGAAGGCCTCCCGGGCCAGACCCTGCCCAGGTGGCTCGTCCACGGGCATGTCCATTCACCAACGAGGGAGAATCTGAATCCAGGTCTGCTGGGGGCACGGGGTGGACTTGACCTCTTTCTACTGTGCCACTCAGTTCCCTTTTAGTTTTGGGGTGCTTTGTTCCACTACTGACATCTTCACAGTGCAGTAAAATTAAAAAGACACTCTCTTGATGGAGCCGGACCCCTTCAGGTGGGGGCATGTAACCCTGAAGCACTGGTAACATGAATTCTGGGGCAGATAGAATGTGCTCATTCTTGTCGGACCAAGGGACAGCCCTAACCACTGTGGCATGTACCTGCCTCCGCAGGGCCGACCAGGGCCGTCTCCTGGACTGCGTGGTGCGATGGGGCAACCTCACGGAGGGGAAGATCAGGATGTACCTGGGGGAGGTGCTGGAAGCTGTCCGATACCTTCACAACTGCAGGATTGCACACCTGGACCTGAAGGTGGGTCAGGCGGAGGGCAGGAGGGCAGCCCTGCTCGTCCGTGCCACGTGGCTGCTCGTGATTGGGGTGGGGGCAGTATAAGGACAGAGGACACTGCTTCTCCAGCCTCTAAGGGTTTCCATCCTACTAGATAAATGTGGCTTAGAACATGTCATGGGACTTTGAACAAGTTCCTATGAATTCTGCTTGGCTGGTATGAGACAGTTCTGTCACTTACAAAAGCAAGAGAGTTTTCAAAATCATAAAAATAAATAATTAATAAAAGGACCAAATTTGCTGGTCTGATAGAGCCTGATGGAACCCCTGCGACTATGGCCCCTACCTGCCCTTCAGGTCTGGAACTGAACCCACTCCTGTGGCTTCCAGCCAAACAAAAGACAGGCATATGAGCTGAACATTTCATTAGGCAGATACACTCCTTGGAGAGATCAATCATGGGAGAATAGAAGGGCTGTCTATGCACAGGGAGACAGCTCAGGGGGCAGGAGTGTATGGAGGGAAGGACACAGGGAAGAGGTAACTATGGGAAGGAAGTGGGAGGGGAGCTGTTGCATTGTGGAAAATTGCAGTTAATATCATGAGACAAGGTGTATGTGAACTGCTGTATGGAAAATTTGCTCTGTAAACTTGCACCCAAATCACAATAAAAATTAAAAAAAAAAAAAGTTTGACATTGAGTGCCAGGAAGGGCCGCGAGCCCCGGCTTTGTCAGCAGCCCTGAATGATAAGCACTGTTAACGTGCAGAATCGAGGCCGCCGCGCCTCCAGGTCCCACACTGCTTCTGTCTCGGGCTCGAAGCCCATTCTGCACCAGAACCGCATGTTCTGCTTGACTCCACAGGCTCCTTGTAACTCAACGACCCTCACGAGTAAGCTTAAGGGGGGGAGGTCTGCAGTGACCATCATCTTCTCCTGTTTTCTAGCCCGAAAACATCCTAGTGGATCAGAGCTCGGCCAAGCCGACGATCAAGCTGGCCGACTTTGGAGATGCTGTCCAACTCAACACGACCTACTACATCCACCCGCTGCTGGGGAACCCCGAGTTTGCAGCCCCCGAGATCATCCTGGGCAACCCTGTCTCCCTGACCGCAGACACGTGGAGTGTGGGGGTGCTCACGTACGTGCTTCTCAGCGGCGTGTCCCCCTTCCTGGACGACAGCGTGGAAGAGACCTGCCTGAACATTTGCCGCCTCGACTTCAGCTTCCCAGACGACTACTTTAAAGGGGTGAGCCAGAAGGCCAAAGACTTCGTGTGCTTCCTGCTGCAGGAGGACCCGGCCACACGGCCCTCGGCGGCACTGTCCCTCCAGGAGCACTGGCTGCAGGTGGGCCACGGCAAGAGCACGGACACGCTGGACACGTCCCGACTGACCTCCTTCATTGAGCGGCGCAAACACCAGAACGACGCTGGACCTCTCCGTAGCATTAAATCCTTCCTGCAGGGCAGGCTCCTGCCTAGAGTTTGACCTGGCTCAAGTTCTTTCTCATTCTCTTTCACCTGCCAATCAGCTGTGAATTTAGATCTTGAAGAGGAAATAAACTAGTAAACAAACCATCGCGGCAGTCAGCTGCCGGTGTGTTCATCATGTGACGTTGCCCCCAAGGGAGCTTGGGGCCCCGAGCCAAAGCTGTGCTGGGGTGGAGGACCGTGGCTGCCCTCTGCGGACGGCAGAGCCAGCACCGCTGTGTCACAGAAGTTTATTCAGGTTTCTGCAAAAACAACAGATAACTTTTTTAAATGAACAGGAATAGAATTTTGCAAATTTCACATTTTCAAGATTTGCTCAAGCAAACAAAACGCCTATGTTCAACTACTGGTGTTAACGAACAAAACAAAGATACTGGACATCTCTGGGGAAGGCGCTTGCACAGAGCCTGTGCCTGCAGCCTGTCCCCCAGCTCAGTCCCCTGGCCCTGTGCTTTCCTAGCCACCTTGTCTGCGGCGTCTCCCCGGGACCCCAGACCTGGCTTCCGAAGGGGCGTTCAACCTCAGACTTTTGCATAAGACTAGAACGAATTGTTTTGCTCTGATGAAATGTAGGCCTTACTTGTACATAAGACTGTCCCTGCCTTTGGTCTGTCCTACCCCACTGCCTTCCCTCCCCCAACTGACCTGCCTCCTGGGTGCCCCCTGGGGGCCCGAGGCCTCTGCCCCTGCCCAGCAAGCGAGGACATGTGGTGGGGTCCCCCACCCCTCCCCACCCTCAACCCTCAGCCGTCAGTCAGATTGCTGAGCGGTATACAGTCAGAGGAAAATACTGTAAATGCACTCATGGGGGGGTTTTTTGGTTTTGTTTCATATCATGTGCAATGTTGTGGCTTTAACATTTTATGCAACTATTTATGGCGACCTCTGTTGTACCTGTAATAAATACATAGAAAAAGCACATACGTCGTATGGTGAGCTTCATGGGTTTGTGCGTGTCAGGGTGGGCGGGGTGGGGGTTGTAGCCCGGTGCCATCGGTTCCAGGAGATTGAACTCTGCGTGAAATTTGTCAGTTTTGAGGATTGTAAAAAAGTGATTTCATACTCTGAATACGAGACTGGATAATAGGGGAATGTTTTCACATTTATTATGCTATTATTCAGAATGCCAAAGTATTATTTTTTTTCCCAAAACCAGTCTGGACATTTACTACTTTTTAGACTTTTTGACATTCAACTTTCTGTACAAAAATTGGCTAGATTTTGAGCCGGATTTTGAGCCAATTCAGTCAGCTCAGCACCGGCCATCGCAAGGCTGGTGTCCCATGCCTGTGTCACTGTGGCAGAACTCACGCTGGCCCCTAACAACGGAGCCTGGCTCCCGGGCGCACCTGAATTTTTCTGGATGTCTTTTTACCTTTGCCGCGTGAAGTACACTAAACAAGAGCCCCACCTGCCCCCCAGCCAGCCAGACATCTGGGTCTAGAGCCATAAACTGGCGTGGTTAGGCTTTGCAGCTTCCCGTGGATTTTATTTATTCTTTCGTTGGGTTTTTGTTTGTTTGTTCGTTTCTTGTAAAATTGTACAGAAACTTTTTAAAAGAAATTGAATTCAAAACTGGATGTGTATTCGTAACCTCATTAACTTTTATTTGTGTATTGTTTCCTTTATGATTTCAGTTAAATTTTTACATTATTTTGCATGTATATTTCTTTGTACAGAGACCTTACATGTTTACTCAGTATGATGTGATGTAAATATTTTATTTTGCCATCAGTTATTTTAAAAAATTAAACATATTTGCCTGATTTTGGTGTTAGGCTTTTTCTTGAAATTGGTCACTGTTGAATGGAAACGAGAGGGCTTGCGGCAGGCAAGCCTGAAGCGGAGGTGTGTCTGGGGTCGGTGGTGGGGCGAGGGGACTTGATGGAGTGTTCCAGACACGAATCTAATGGCCACAACCAGAGGTGGGACCTAGGAATGCAGGTAAGGTTTCACGAAAACCAAACTCGGGAGACCGCTGGCACAGAACCAGAATGCCGACTGCTGACCACGGAGCTCTTCACTCGTTAGAAAAGCTGACATAGCCCAGGCCTCAGAAATAAGGAAAGATGTTTCTCGTGGAGCACAAAGTCTACGCAAAGGGAAGAGCTGCTCACCTGGCCACTGAAAGCAAAGTGAGCCTTTCCAGCTGCCCACTAGGCAGTGATGCATGTGGGTTCAAGCACAGGTGGCACTGGCGAGGAAAGACCACCTCCGAGAAGAATGCCCAGTGGCCATCCCTCAGCCTCCCCATCCGGGCAGCACCTGTCCTGGGGGCGTCCAGCCGCTCCCTCACCAGGTCTCTGTTTGTCTCAGTCCTCTAGTGCTGCTATGACAGAAGTACCACAAGTGGATGACTTAACAAACAAGTGTATTCTCTCCACAGGTCAGGAGGCTAGAAGTCCACATTCAGAGTGTCAGCTCTAGAAGCTAGGTGAAGGCCCCTTGACCTTCAGCTCTGCCTCTTGTTCCAGGCCCCCTGGAGCTGGAGACATCTCCTAACTCAAACAGCTGCTGAGGCTGACGAACACAAGGTCGGCAGGTAAAATGATACAATGTCAAGTTCAGTAAGCAGCCAACAGGGAACAGACCCAAGATCAGTGGGCAACAAGGCAGGACGCTGGCTCAGGAACTGGAGATAAAGATTCAGCCAAATGCAGGATTCAGATGTGTCAGAAAGCTACAGATACTTCCCAAAGCTCTTCCATATACACTGAAAGCAGGCCACCCCAAAGGCAACTCCCCTTCCACGGATTAACTTGCGTCTCACAGCAGATTCCCTATGGAACTGATTACACCACCTCCTGTCCCATCATGGGGAATAACTACATCCAGCTGCCATACCACTCAAAACCAGGCTCAGCCAAGTTGACGCACACCACTGCAGGGCTCTGACACAGAGGTGCCTTCAGACACTGCTGACCCCATGTGACCTCACTAGGCTACTTAGGCTGGTAACCAAAATCCTCTCTGATGTTTTAATTCCTTTTTGCCTTCCTTCAGAGAGGGTGACTTCTATTGTTCAGCATACTGTAAAGAACGGGTTTTATTTTTCA